GAAATAGCGTCTTTTCGTCACGCTAGCATAGGGATCCCATGTTAAAGTAGCGAACTTTGATTAATTATATTGCACTGTCAATAATATGTAGTTAAAATTTCAAGACCCTTTATCGAGTCATTTTTTTGAGGGAACTACCTTAAATGTTGTGGGTACGTATACGTTATAGGTGTATAGGTGCACTAAACTATTGCAACAGATTCCATGAAACGCACGTATAATTTAGGGAGCCCTCCATTCATATATAGGAACTTAATTGGCGCGTAGCGGTATTTCCCACGTTCGTTATATATTATTTTGTATTATTGTGTGTATATGTGTGTTGTTAGTGGAACCGCGCCTGCAGCAGCAGCAGCCACCGCCGACGCCGCCGCACCGTTGCCGCTGTTGCGCGCCGGGCGAGTTGTTATTGAGCGAGATAATTGACGCAAACGCTTATTTCGAGTTTGTACGTATGTTATACGATTTTGGCTCGATTGTTGTATACTTGTCGGAGAGCGAATTTAGCTGCTACATGTGCATTTTTATTCAGACAATTTCGTATCCGTTCACAATGTGTAGCAGTGTAAGCGAACACGTGTGTGACATTTCAATGCGTCCAACGCTCGAGCAGAAACGTTGTATTACGAATTGCTGCTATATAGCAAGAGCACATTATGTATGCAGAAAGGTCGAGGGAAAACGATCATTTTCGGAGAGAGAGAGCCTCGATTTCCAAGACGCGTAATATGCCCTGAATACATCTTAAAAACTACATGATTGGATTTCTTTTATTAGAAGAGCGTGAAATTATAGCGCGCGTGAACTTTTTCCTCGTATTTGAGTCGGCTCTCTGTACATATAGGCGGCTCATTATCACGGATTTTCGCTAGAATAATCCGATGCGTCAACACTGATTAAACTGCGACTGCGTTGCATATTTCTTTTTTGGATTTCAGAAACGAAAATTAGACGAAAAATTAGCAGTTCATGAGCCGCCGCCAACGCGCGCGTTAATTTGAAAGAAGATAGATAGTGTATAATGGAATAAAGTTATTTATCTGCCATTCTCGTGTATGAGGGTAGGCGAAAACTGCTCAGTTGGGGAAAAGCTTTCAATTCTTTTACGTGCGCGCGAGCGATGTAAAAAAAGATAATTAGCGGTTCATTACCCTCGCACCTCAAAGGCTAATTATCTCTCTCTCTCTCTCTCTCTCTCTCTTTTTTCGCGCACCCAAAATTTTATACGTACACATTTTTGCACTAAAGCGATGCGCTGCCGACATCGTTGGTGGTGCAGGCAGGCATCGACGACCACGACGAGCGTTCGGCGGCCACCTTTTCAAATACAATAATTTACCCTACATCCATACGTGTGAGAGTTCACGAGCAAGTACGAAAAATATATAAGTTACACAGATACGAAGTGAGAAAAGAATTTTGTATGATAAGCAAGTAAAAAAGAAACGGAACGCGCACGTCGCATTGTCATGCATGTGTTATAAGGACGATAATATATGAGCATATGCCTTACACGGTTTGATACAAAAAATATGTTTGCGTAATACATGCACTCAGGGATAAAGAAAGAGAGGATTATGACTAGTGCTTGCGCAGGCGTGGAAAAAAATGTCTCGTTTTTATAGTTGCTTTCTTTCAAGTGGTCAAGAAGATGGACAATATTTATAGGTGTAATTTTTCCTCCATTAGGGAGTACATTTGTTGATAATTTAACGAAAAAATCGACTCATTTTTATTTCGTTTTTCAATCTAAACTATTTCTTGAAATAGTATATTACTGCCCTAGGCTGCGAAAAACAGAGAAGTCCCAGAGTACGTGCAATTAGTGGCCCAGGCGAAGCCGAGGCCGATAAATACGTGTTCTGGGGCTTACTTTTTTCGCGGCATAGGCCTGTATACTATTTTTCATACACAATGGTCCGAAAATCGCTTTTCCCGCTTTGCGCAGCGGCAGGTGAGTAGTCACTTTCGGGCCGCTGGTATGAAAAATATATAACTTTTATGAGCACTCGAAAAAACTAGATCGATCATGTGAATCCTTTGAAAGGTGTCGGCTGTTTTGCCACCACGTCTCCGACGAGAGAGATGGATCGTAACGCGGAAGTTGCTGTGGCAAATCACGGAAACTAATACAGTAACGCGCAACAAGTTAAGCTCGGCGGATTACCGATGTGTCAGACAGAAGCGCGTCTTTCTTGTCAACACGGGCATACATGCGAGAACTCGACCGGTCTTGGATGCGCGCTCGGCAGTGACTATTAGCCATTGAGATTAAAACACATCGTCGGTTATATAAAGAGACATAAAGTTGCGTAATGAAAGGTGAAAAATGAAGATGTATCTTTGAAGTATTACTGAAAATTATTTAATGATATTATTATGTTAAGATTGATAAATCTTAGCGTAACAGTTCTTGAAATAATCAATAAAAACTCATTTCTCCAAAAAATGTGGATCGCTCAAATTTGATGCAATTAAAGATTCTTGACAACTTAAATAGATAACGGATACTGAAGTAAAACCAAAATGCAAAAAATTGTTGCTGTACAATTGATTTTTATCAAAAAATCGTCTAGAATCAGTAATTGCTATCAAGAAAATTGTTACTTGTTTACCATAAACAACATTTGGATATTTTTCTTTGCTAAAAGCTACAACCATTAAGTAGATAGCGAAAAAGAGAAACTTCAGTTACTACAATTTTAATCGGAAATCCACGACAGTAGAAGCTTTAAAGGCGCGAGCTTGCATCAAACTCAAAGGCCAAAAGCTCAAAACCACTAAGTAGCTTATCCTTGCCTCGTCGTCGTCGTCTTCATGGTCGTCGTCGTCCATCCTCTCCTTTTACTTCTCTTGGTCTTGCGGGGGGCGATGCATATGCATAAACGACGGCTAAGAGACGATGACGACGACAAGGACTTGAATGTACCGCTACACAACAAGCTTCTAGCATTAATTCCCGATTATACACCGATCGAAGCTCCTCTTTGACTATGATGGTATAAAGATGGGACGACGCACCACCGCTGCGTCTTCTACCTCCTTCTCCTTTATGGAAAGATTATTCTATACATAAACGAGCGAAAGTAAGGATGAATGTGTACGCGCTCGAGAGCAATGTTCAGTTTGTAGTAACTAAGGAAATAACAGTGTTTGCAATGACTTTTTCTAATAAGTGCAAGGTAGAAGTGTTATACCTTTTACAAATGAAATACGATTCGGTAACCAGTTAATAATAACCCGCCTTGCTTTGACTTACACAATTATTTTTACTTTGCCATTTGCAGGTTTACAGATAAAGGTGCTCGCCATCTAATGGTCGCTGCTTAAACTAGTACTATTATCGTATTCAAAGTGATTGAAAACTGGTTACAATTTTTTTTTAAACGCACATAATATTTGTTAAGTATTTTTTTGTTCAAGATTAACCGTTAAACGTATTTTAAAACATTTTAAAATGTAATTTTTTGGACATTAGGGCATTATTAATGTTAAGCATTTTTACCAAATGTGAGATGCATATAACTTTGATTCGGCAAAATTTGAATTCCATTTCTGATATTTGAATCAAATTTTTGTCTTTTCGTTGTTTATATATTTCCACGACTTTGTTTCTCAGTAACTTCTTTGACAACAATAAATGTGCAATGATAAATTGAATGATATGGGCAGAAAAAAGCGCAATTAACGCGAATCACAGTCTGCTGATTAATATACTACTCATCGACAACAATCGATCAGCTATACCAATGCTGTACTTGGTAAAACAAATAAAAGAGTGAAGGAAAAAAGACCCCTCGAACAGGTATAAAAAAGGAGCAAAAGAAATAAAGAAAGAGTCATTGACGCTGCTTATACATGCGTAAGGAGACGAAGGAGCAATAGCGCAACGTCACAAAAAGTCTCTTAAACGAATATCTCGGGAGACGTCTTCGTATAATAGTGGTGACAACGATGTGCGCTCGTTGTATTACTGATGCCATTAAAAAGACTTTCAAAGATGAACGATTTCATCTCGCAGAAGAGAGATAAACAGCCAACGAAAAGCCTTTCTTCCTTTAGTTTTTTACCTTTTTTTTGTGTATATATGTATATGCCAAAGGAAGGATCTTTTGCGTAAAAAGAGACACGAAATAAAAGAAAAAAAAAGGTAGGAAAGAAAGGTGTATCTATAAAAGCGGTATAAAAGAAATTGGCTCAGTTTGTTGCATATTTATAAACTACAACTGCTTGCTCAGTGTTTTCGCGCTTGCACGCTAGCTAGCTTTTAGATATTAATACAGCGATGGCTTTGCTTTATTACCTTTGCCTGAAATTGACCCTCTTCTTTCCTTTTCGCTCTCTCTCTCTCTCTCTCGCTACTTCTGTTTGAAAAAATATATTTTCTGACACGCGTGGCTGAAGCGTAAGAGGAAAAGAGAAAAAAAAGAGAAAAGTAAAATTAAGCGACGTCATATTTACCTACTCTCCTGTACTGTCTATTAGCAGTTGCGAACGAATAGCGCGTTTTTCCATGTTATATACACTTTTAATAATACTATTCTTTAGAGACTCAAATTTTCGCTTAATACGGTAACATTGGTTTGTAATATCTCAGCATTTTATTGTTGAACTCGCTGCTCTATAAAAGAGTCGAGAAAAAAATGTCGTTATTGCACATTTCTTTTCATACTTTTTTTTGATAAAAATTTGGGATTTAGTTAATGATTCCGTATTTATACGGTAAATTATTTCTTACTTTTAAGATCATCAATATGTATGCTGAAAACTAGCAGTGGAAATTTCAAATTCAACAATCTTCATTTCTTTTGTCAATATATCACGAAGAAAAAATGTATACATGTACATGGATACACATTGAAAACCTTCATTCCTGGAAAATTTCAAAGAGAGAAGAAGATTCTGTACTAAAAGGTGCACCTAGCATAAAATCTTTTCGGATTGATAGAAATTTAAATAGAAAGAAGGAAAAAGCAAAGAGAGCAAAAGTTCGTTAAATAATGAATCAGTTCAACGGACTACGGACCTGCAGTAATAGTAAAAGTTCGAACAGAAGTAAATCAATTATATACAAGGACATTTTGAAAATGTCCGTTCAATTAGCTGGATGTATAACGAATAATCTTAATGACGAATACGAATAAATTTTCAAGCGTATTATCAAAAAATATTTGTAAAACGATAATAGTATGACGTTGAAATAAATAAACAACAAACTCGGAATTCACGCGTTAGAGTATTTAAAAGTGATACGCGTTGAGTACGACTGGACTGCGACGAGAATATTTTCCGTCCCTCTTCATGTGCGCAAAACGTTTGATATTTTGCAGAGTAGAAAAATCCCTTTGAAATCAATTCCACGCACTCTGTGCGTCACACACTCTCAATAACGCGCTCGTGATCCACTTTAATAAAATTTCTAACGTATCACCGTCGCAGAATTCAATACTTCATGCGTGCGCGCCCGTGTACGTGCGAGATTATGTACACATACGAATGCATTACTTGTACGCCCGACACCAACTTTAGGACGAAAAAAATATCTTTTACTCATATTCGCAAAGCCCTTTGAAACCAAAAACTCCCATATATGCATATGTGACGCATACGAGGCTCTTTTGTAAATATATAGCCCGACCGAGCATATCACGTAAAAAAGGCAAATTCAAATTAAATAATACTAAAATGTCCAGAGAGCCCGAAAGAGCTGACAGGGGTAAACTGATACACTTGATTACTCATTTTCCGCAGATGGTTTGCAGCAGGACGGTAGCGGCCGAGTATCGAAGCGAGCCAAGCCACTGGATCCGGAAGAGGATGACTACTACTACGAGGACGTCGTGGACGAGCGTAACAATCCAACAAACGAGGCGCCCGTAGTGCCGCCGGGATTTCTTAGTCCTTCGGTACGGGAGTACCTTGATCTCGGCAAGTCGATACCTGGTGAGTAAGCCAACACCTTTTGAAACGTTGATTCGCTTTAGTAGTGGTAAAAAAAAAAAATAAAACAGATATAGAACTGGCGAGCTGGCGAGAGCGCGTAAACCTTTGAAAAGTTTTCCAAAAAGTCCAGGAATGCCGAGCAATCATCTTGTGTTTTCAACGAGGATAAACTGGCGTGGGCTGTCGCGCAAACTATTTAGCCTCTTTTTTCTCTCTCTCTCTCTCTCTCTCTCTCTCTCTCTCTCTGCGCGCAGACAAGAGTTTCGCAAGCCTTTGTGTTCTTTAGTTAGTTCGATACTTCAACTCTCAACGCTGCTGCTGCTGCTGCTGCTACTACTCAACAAATCGATAGACTAGCGCCGCTGCTTATATTATAATTTAGCGTTCACAAGCTCATTCGAGTTTAAAATATTTGCTGCAAAACAATCCCCCTACCGCCACCCTTTGCTCACGAGCTGCTGCTGCTGCGCGCGTACCACTCGATGCGGCAAAGCAAAAAACTTTTTTTTAGAATCAACTAATGATACTAATTACATATATTAAAGTAAAAATTTTCTTGTTAGCTTAAAAGAGATGAAATATATATTTCACTTTAACAAAATGTCGAGATTCGGAGGGAAAAGCGAAGAATTTTTATAAAAGTTTCCTCGCTAGCGCGACGACACAAATTCCACGTGCATCGCTGCGAACGGATTTTACATTGAAACAACCAACTTCGTTTAACATTATAATGAACGCGCTCAAATAATATATGATAATTGAAATTAAGTTTGTCAACGGGAGCAGTATATACATGTATACCAGTAGATTCAACGAGAGAAACAAATTACGCAATGTTCATTAGCAACAAACATAGATATATAAAATGAACAAATTGCTTTGTATGATTCTGTACTTGCGAGAATGTGATTTATATAAGTGCGTATATCCAATGAGTATAGCAGTCTTTTTGGTAATAATGTAAAAAGGTGAAATTTTAAGGTGATCCAAAACGAAATTTCGATAATTTGACCTTTATAATGTATAATTAAAAATCCGATGAAATATATTTCAAACTAGTCTCAAACGAGCGCAACGCGTGTTTTGTTTTTTTTTCCTTTTGTTCTCCACAGTATCAAGATCGCGAGGGAGAAAAACATCATTCGAAGTCGTCTGTAGTGCGAAGGACACGTTGCCGTCGTGTCCTTGCCAGGTGCGGTGTACGGATCGTTCTAGGGTACTAGAGAGCAACAGCAGGAGGGAAGAGACAAACGCAGAGGAGAAAAGCAGAAAATAGCGATTCGATTGCGGTGAAAGCCAATATAACAATGACAACGCAAGGGAGGGACTCGCACGCGGACAACAACGAACGCGGGAGGGGGGGGGCGGCAAAGGGTTGTCGTGGGGAGGGATGTGCGAGCCGGGATTAAAACACTGGAAAATCGGTGCGCGACCATTTGTGTAAAGTGTTTTTGCTGCGCGTTGTCACAGTTGGATTCCTCTATAGTAATTAAATTAAAGTTAATAATTAACATTAATTATAAGACCAAATAGGTCGGGCGGTAAGCTCGGCTGGAAATTCGGTACAAGGGACATTCCAATTTGTCGTACTACGTGCAACTGACATGTGGCTCGTAATTGAGACTTGTACCTAAAAGATAATATTATTTTTTGCCTCCGAAATACGATATCTATTTTAATAAGCGAATGAATGTCAAAAGCTAGTCTTCCGCATATCGTAAGATGATAATGGTTCGGATAAATTGGTATTATTACACACATGATATTCTGAGTGCATATACATCACTGATGTGTACGTGACATTTAATGACGCACTATTAATACCCGAATCGACATGATGCGAGAGGACACGCGAATCGATCGATCAATCATTCAGTAATATTATGTACAACAAAGGAAAAATTTGACTCCACTTGACGCGTGCATGTAAAAGCTCGACGGAGGAATATCATAATAACGATACGACAGATATGCGTCAAAAACAAAAAGAAGAAAAAAAAACGGCAAAAAGGGTCGAGGGTTATAAAAGTCAAACTACCGTATATCGAATCCAAAAGACAGTGACGAGGATGACTTATCTCATCGACGTTACGTACGAAAGAAGAGATACGCAAACTTGCAGCAGCAGCACCAGCGCGACCCTACCCGAACAAAGAGCTCTCTATACATGTTCCTCTAGCTAGTGCACGAGAGCTAGAGCGAGATGACGACAGAAAGAAAGAAGAATGAGAGAGAGAGAGAGAGGGTGGGAGGGCGAGCGAGCGAGCGACGATAATGAAATATCCTGGGCGCGCGCTCGCTTTCGCTCTGCTAACTTTACGACGGTGCGGCTATGCCTCTGCCTGCCTGCTAGGAACATAAAACGGGACACTAAAACCCCGGGCAGAAAAATATACCTTGGATACGCATGAGGTGCTCGTAAATAGATAAGGGTCCGATCCCAACCCGTCCACGAGCTCTCTTTCCTTCGCTCTTGATTCGGGGCGTAGAATATATATACCGAGCGTCAGGGGGTAAGCAGTTGTAATTGTTCGACTGGATTGTAAGAATCTTTACCCCGCGCCCTGGCGAGTAACTACTAATTTTATGAAAAGTTAAAAAGAGGTAATACCGGCTGCGAGAGTAAAAAAAATAATTAGAACAATGAGAAAAAAATTTGTCTGGTAAAATCTTGACTGGAAATATAAATCTGGTAGTGGAGATATCGTCTTTATAAGGAGATACAATAATATAAATACTCGTTGTCATTTAATAAGCTTTTGGCGGGAAACAATATAAGCTACGGCAAAACATCTTTAACTCATCGTTTTTTTCTCTCTCTCTCTCTCTCTCTCTCTCTCTCTCTCTCTCTCTCTACTACACAATCACAAGCTTTAAGCTGCGTGTTGTCTCTCGTTCTTTTGAAATGAAAAAAAAAGTAACGGACGAAGTAAGTAGTATTCGAGAGTCGAGAAAACGTTAGAAGTAGTATACACGTAAAATCTGCAAAATATCGGTTAACGCACCTTTTGTTTTGCCCACGTACAAAACTGTAAAAGATGTCTTTTACCGGGCAGTGATTTATTTTTTTTCCTTTCCTTCGCGGTTCGTATAGCACTAGTGTCTATAACTTAAACAATCGGACGGGTGATGAATATACATCTATATCTATAGCACATCGACTACTGGTTCCTAAGTTGATTAAGAGATTCGTCCAAGTTATAATTGCTTGGAAAGCGCTTATCTCCCTCTCTCTCTCTCGCTCTCTATCTGTCTGTCTCTGTCTCTCTCTATACCCTCATTTATGCACCAATACTTTTCAAGATTTTTATCTTCTTCACGCTCTACACTCCGAGTGTTAAATGTCCGCTCAACTTTCTCTTTCTTTCTCTCTCTCTCTCTCTCTCTAGCTCCTCTCTTCCTTCGTTCTCGTTCACGGTAAAAGAATATTAAATATACTCCAACGCTATTCAGAATAACTTGCACTTCTTTTACTGTACTTGCAAGTTCCATTAAAGCCTTACTTGTGTTTTAATCATTTGAGTGATGATAATTTTTCACGCGTGCCTCTCCTTTTTTTTTCATTGATCATTTCTATGTGACGCTTACTCGCTCGCTCTCCAGCTCTGTCACCTTTCCGCTTTTTACCTCCCTGCTGCTGCTGCTGCTGCCGGCATATTATAATATATTGCACGGGCTGCGCGTTGTTTTAGAATAAAACGCAGAAATCACGTAAATTATTCGGGCGGAGGGAAAAAGAGACTCGTCGTCGTCGGGAGCTTCGGTCATCAAAGTTTTCTTTCAGTAGTAGTGGTATATGGCAGCAGTAGCAACCGACTGCCGAGTATTGATGGAAAATGCATCTTTAAAAAGGTATTAAAAGTATGTCGTCGTTTCTCCAAGTGGTATTAGTGCCGAAGAAAGCTCGCGCGCGCCGCTGCTCGCCCGGTTGCTGCGCGCTACTACTCTTGTCTGGCTACACTAATTTGACGATTTATTCGTGAAAGAGCGCCAATTGAAACTTGGTCAACTGCAGCATTTTACGGCTCAAAAGATTCAACTTGAGTAATTTCACCTCTTTTCTTCTTCTTGCTTATGATTTTTTTCTTAAATATCCCTTTTACTTTTTACACAATTGTTGATGTATAACTTTTTTTATTATTTTGTAGAATCAATCGCGAACATACGGATGCACACAGCATTTGCTTTAAAAGCAAAATACAAGCATGATGCTGTAGCTCTTTCAAAGTAGTGCTTCTCCATCTAATTATGAAAAAGCTCGGTTAAAGCACAAAAGATTTTGCAAATCTTTAATCCGTAATATATTTCTTAAGTTGGTCGACCAGATATAATATTTAAAAAAAAAAATCAACTTGCCTGCGAGAGCTGCTGAGAGGTATATCCGTTACTTGTCAGTTGCAAGCCTTTTCCTATTAACTTATATGAGGCATGAGCAAGAATCCGCTCTGTTCATCCCTTCGTTTACCGTAAAGAACGGCTACTTCTTTGTGATGTTTTGATAAATGAATGCGGATGGGTTTCTGCTTTTTGACGGAGTTATTATAATTACCTAATCTTGATGATACAACAGTTGCCAGCTTCAAGCTGCTTCGTACAAATACTGAAATGCCTGTTTCTCTCTGTATTCCTCCTTATTGTACGAAGTTCATATAAAACTCGTTTCTCGTGACCTTTTTTTTTACATTAATTTTACTTGACCATCCAAAGAATAGCATTTCCTTGACACATAGCCTTACGTTAGCACATCAACAGCAATTGAAATTCTTTACGAATGAAAAAGCTCGACTCAACCTTCTTGTCATCAAAGTTTGCCTTTGTACAGCTGAATAGTCGCATACATCTACTACGGGGTAAGGCAAAAAAAGCGAAGCATTTACCGCGAGGAGCATATGTGCCGAGTCCATTAATAGTCGTTCAACTCACTTACGACTCTACGTGATTATACAAATTCTCGAACAACTAGTAGTAGTAGTAGTAGTAGTAGTAGTAGTAGTAGTAGTAGTATATACACTCGCGTGGGCATACAAGCTCTCTCGATTCCTCTGAAAGAGGCGTCAGTAGCATCTCCCTCTTTCTCTCTTTCTCTCACTCTCTCTCTCTCTCTCTCACTTGCTTTTCCAGCTCTTGCGTTGGCAAATAATAAACGTACGAGAGTCTGCGTGAGGTTGCCTGTATGTATACGTGTATGGCTGAGCACAGTCACATAGAAACACGCAGTTTCCTTTAGTAGCCGTCGGAACAAGTTCGAAAACTGTGTCGTCGTTGTGTCTGAGTCGCTATCGTCTGTATCCTATCTTTCAGACCCTATCTTATTTCCTTTGCTTCTCTCTGCGTCTCTCGGTCTCTTTCTCTTTCTCTGTCGCTCTCTCTCTCTCTCTCTCTCTCTTGCTCTTTCTGGGTATACACCTTCACTTTTCCGCGTGCTTTATTACTATATACAGTGGAACAGCGACGACTCGAAGGTGAGAATGCTGTCTTCTCAATGAAATTCGCGCGTACGACCGGAGCTCATGTGTACTTCGTCGGTAGCGAGTTCAAAGTTGTTCAGACAGGTTATATTCCACTGGGACACGTACCTATGCTTCTGCATATATGCATTATGATTCACACACCAAATAACTTGAGATGCTGCTGCTGCTCTACCTTCTGCCAAGCTTCATATATACAAACATACGCACACGTGTACAGACAGTTTACGCGGTAGAGTCAGCCTCGAGACTTTCTCGTTGTATTTTTGCGGTGTGTGTTCGGGTGTTTATATGTATATTGTGTATATATATATATATATACAGGCGCAAACGTCACCCCGAAGTACTGCAATGTGCTTCTAGGGGACGACGGCGCATTGTCTTTGTTGTGCACATCGATAGTCTTTTACGCTGCTGTATATACGTTCGTTGCACATTCCAAGCCCAATGGCATGTGTATAAACGAAAGTGACGTAAATAAAATTATTTTGACAGATAAAAAAAGAGTTGAGCTTTGACATTATCAAGATTAAGAAGATAATTTAAACGTTGATGCGCGTTGTTATTTTCAAATTGTATAATACGATTAAAACTCTGCATATTAATAACATTGTAAAATGAAGGCGTTAACGTTTTTAGAAAGTATAAGGTAAAGACTCGGAGAACGATATTTGCATTGCAATTGACAGAAGTTTTTTTTTATTACAAAGTAATGCACAGGCGCGAAGAGACGCGTAGCAGTTTGTCATAAATTTTAGTACCCCAGCCAGGCAGGAGAGCTTTTATATAACGCTTTACTACTAATTTAAATTTTCTCAGCTTTATACAAGGTGATTTTTTTAATGAAATACTCGACTACATATTTTCAGTATCTCTTTCTCTCGCTACAGCAGCAGCAGCAGCGTTTCTTATTTTATCATCAGCAGCATCATCCGTGTTTTTATACTTTTTGTGTACGTGTATATGTACGACGGAGAGGAAAAAAGTGTGCGCGCGCAAAAATCTTTGAGCTTGATAAAATGCAACTTGTGTACAGCGAACCACGCAGCAGCAGCTGCCTTGTGCTAGAGCTCGAGTTGTACACAAAAAGATTACAAAACTCTTCTCGCAGGTATACAGGCAAACATCTCGGCGGCACGAGAGGCTGAGCCTAGCGCGCGACGATGAAATTCATCGATCTCACGACTCGTTGCCGAGCTATATACACGCTATATACAACGCACGGCGGCGGCACATCGCATTCTAACGCGAGAAGATGCTACGCGACAGCAGCAGCAGGGACACCTTAGATAATAATGAAGCACTTTCACTGCTGCGTGACGATGATCGTCGCCACCGCTATATATGCATAATATCGGCTCTCCCTCGAGTTATTTATGGGATGTACAGTGCGCGAGTTATGCACGCGTTCGACAAAAAAAAAATAAAAGTAAATGCACGCGCCATGATTTTAATCTTCATACATCTAATGCGTAACGAAATGATCAAATCATCAATTATTGCGGTATAATGCAACACACAGCCGAGCGGGAAGTGGGGAAGCGGCATCAGTGCGGCTGCATCTTACCGAGTAAAAACACGCAATCGAGGTTGGCGAGATTTAGCGCGCGTGCCCGAGAGCTCATAACATAAAGTACGAAGTCAATCGGCCAGTTCGGTGCGGCTATAGGCGGCTAAATTCTAATTCGTCTATTTGTTCTGACATGCTAGTACTGCTACTGCTAACGCTGCACATGTGTAGTACAGATAGGAGGAATTCGTGTGCGAGTATAGGGGGTTTGCGATTTCTCTCTCTCTCTCTCTCTCTCTCTCACTCTCTCAGTACAGTTTGCGCGAACGACTCTCTCGTTCTCTCTCTCTCTCTCTCACACACTATATATATATATATATATATATGTACGCAGTGAGAACGCTGCACATAGAGCTTCATTAACCCTTTGGTACGCCGAGACTGCGAGCAATTATCTCCTAACCGGTGCTGCGTATGTGTGTATGTATCCAGCAAAGAGATTTCTCTCTCTCTCACTCTCCATAGCTCGCTAATTCGGAACACTAGTGCTGCTGCTGCTGCCGCTGCTGCCGCTGCTACTGATACTCTACCTCATCTTCGTGTACGCGCGACTATATGTACACTTTGGAAGCACACGTGTATATACAAAGAAGGCAAAGCTTCACTCATTGTGAAACTAGTTAATTGTGTGTATCGAGCTTTTGAGGAATTTCTTGGATGTATAAATATTGGGTATTCGCTTATAGACGTACCACAGGAGAGGTACGATGATATGCCTACGCATATACGTGTAAACATGGGGCATTTATGTCTAAAGATTGTTCGCGAGTTCAGACATAGTATTACTGAAAAATGTATTCAACCGCATAGATATGCTGACCCGTTGTTAAATTATGTTACAGACGTGAGGAATAAGCGATTTAATGTTGCGTTGAATATTCTGCCCAAAACAATTTGATGATAGCAACAGTTTAGATTTTATGTAGTAGTAAATGCATGCATGAGTTGACAGATTGATGATTAAAATAAAACCGAACCAACTAGTTCTTGGCAGTCTCTTTATTCTGTAACTAATTCTTTTCTCTTTTTTCCCCCGCAGGTCGACCGGGCACGGATTATCCAGTACTGGGCAAAGTGCCTTACACCGAGTTCTACTGCGACGAGCAGGCTTACCCGGGCTTCTTCGCGGACGTCGAGACGCGCTGCCAAGCCTGGCACTATTGCGACATCGACGGGCGTCAAGCGACTTTCTTGTGTCCCAACGGCACGCAATTCAGCCAGGCCGTGTTCGTCTGCGACTGGTGGTTCAATGTGCGCTGTGAACTGAGTCCCAAACTTTACGCCATCAATAGCCGGCTCTATCAGCGGCCGACCGAAAGTCCTACGAGGCCGCATCGAATTATTACCAAGGAACTCGTGGAGAATATATTCGTTAAGAGAAAATGAACTCGGTTACATGAGCCCGCAAGAGAGATATATTGGCAAGATCCGTGCAAACTTTTTCCTCTCTCACTCTTACTTTTTCTTTCTCCCTTTTCTCCTGTTTCTATAACACCCTTTTTGATACCTTTAAACTTTCCGATATCAGTGATTTCTCGCTCACGAAGTAATTTTTCTACTAAAACGGAAGAGCTCATATTTTCGTCCGAAACGTCATCAACAGAGAAATCGTCTGTATGTATGAACTCCGAGACATTATCGGTGCTCATCGAACCTGATGGATGCGCAATGAAAAACACGTTTGATGGTTCAACTTGCGTGTGTCTCCCCGCGGGAAAGTATCACGTGCAAATGATAACTTCGAATCAAAGCTCGCATCTTTATCGCTTACTACCGTCTTTTGTGTCCGCGCAGCTATTTACGATGTCAGCGGCAATTTTTTTTTAGCGCGAAAAAAAAGATTATGAGAGGAAAAGAAAGAAACTTACGCATACATCTCAAATGCTTATAAAAAAAGAGGATTGTCGCATCGTTTTATGCCAAGGAGTTCATTGAGAGTTCCTGCAATAGTGGAAAATGAATAAAAAAAATTCATTCGTATAACAAATATATTTATAAGTAAGAGACTTTGAAACGACGACTTTTGTACTTTTTTGCGATAGACTTCGAGGAGAAGTTCGCTTCTTGACATTGACTTGTATTATAAAAACGCCATGACTTTGTAAACATCGATGTGCAAACTGTTATCTTCAAAAAATGAAATAGCCAGTAAACTCAATACTTAAAAAAAAAATGTTAGAATTTAATTAGAATTATGGCTTTTAGGTTTATAATATATTTTTCGAATCATATTTGAATGCCATCAGTACTTATAATTTAATATGAGTTCTTGAAAAACTTTGAATAGCAAGGACTGTGTGTGAAGCTTTAATTGTGACAATATATTGTGTAATTAAGATCTCCAATCTAAATTTTAGTGGTTTTAACTAAGCAGTCTTATAATTTTCAAAATATTTTAGAACTTTGCTAAAAAAAATACTAAAAAATTATACCTATGAATAAGTGAAAATGTATTTTCTCTAGTTATTGATAATTCATAATAAATAATCAAAATTTTGTATGCATCTAACAGATGAATTTTTGTACAGTACTAAATTTTAAAAATCAAAGAATTCATCGAAATAGCGGCAAAAATCACTCAATTGACAATAAAAAACATTAAAAAATAGGTATTCGTGGTGCTGAAAGAAGTGTTGTAGCAATATTTACTAAATCATGATCAAATATTCACAAAATATTAAATGTAATGAAACGTAAAAATTGTGTAAATAATATTAAGGGCTTTAATAAAAGTAAGTTTTCTTTTTTAAAATATTTAATGAACATACAGAAATGATATGGAGTTTCACACTGTATGTATTTACCACAAAAATTTGAATGAAGATAATAATTTCAAGATTACCTATTTTTTAGCAATAACTTCATATTTTCCAAATTAATAAATCAAATTTATTGTAATAGTAATAAAATGTTCGATAAATGATTAAAATTTGTACGAAGAAGTTGTACTATTGTTGAATTTATAAGCGTATTCTAAATTTTTTTATTAACTATAATTACGTTTTTAATAAAATAAATGTGTAATCATTACGTGCATGAAATCATAAAGAATTGTTTTTTTATTGAACCTTGAGTAAACTATTGGAAAAATATTTAAAATTGCAGAATCAAGTGTGGAAAAACTTTCGTCAGCCAAGAAAGTCTAATAGCGTGAAAAACCGCTGTTCTTTATAAAAATGACAAAGTTTTTGGAAAAAGTAAGTGTTCACATTTGAAGCCACGTACAACAGAGCTCGTATATACTATATATATTCGCTCAGAGCTTGAGATGACAGTCTAATTTCTTTCTCTCACCCTCTCCATTCGTTTATATTGTATACTGGTGGCAGTGTGCTCGCTGCTTTTCGCCCAAAATTTCGCAATGGAAACTTGTCAAAACAGCAAGTTTGCAAGCACACACAGTAGAGCAGCAACAGCAGCAGCAGTAGAATCCACCACCGAAACCGGTAATCAGCTAGCGATCATACCGAGCTTATAATACATACACCCAAGAGCAAATGTGAGCGTATAAGCACGTATATAGACTCTCTCTCTCTCTCTCTCGTTTCTCAAGGTATGAAATTCAATTTTGGCCAATCATTTTTCACCATACAGAACTTCCTAGGTGAGGCAGAATTTCCTCGATGTATGACGTATACACTTGTTGTTGTTCATGTTGTTGAACTACAAAAGTACAAGTATAGAATTAAACTCGAAAAGCTAACCAGTGAGCACGCCGCAGTATTGCTGAATGATGCGATGTTTAAACACGATATATTTGCCATTCCCATAGTGAATTGACTTTTGGTCATGATAGGTATCAAAATTATTACACGTAACTACAATTACAAACAGAACCACGGTTTTTATTTTCAGCGCAAAAATCCAAGTGTTTTCCTCAGTCACGTAAAATATAACTCGATTCAACAGTGTGTATACCTGGATGCAGTCAAGGAGGTACAATCAGGGGGGACAAGTTTGCCTAAATTCAGGATTACCTTTGTATAGAGACACGTACACATTCAAGATTTTCCGTGATATATACACGTGTGCGTAGAGAGTAGTTATCGCCAGCGCCACCCGCGCTTGCTCGCTCGCTCTCCCCTTCTGTCATAATAATGCAATGCGTATCACGTAGTCGTTCGTTGTCGTCGCTAAAGTCCATAGTTCCTCAATTTCAAGGAAGAGAAGAGTAGCGGCAGCAGCGACGAGTAGAGCTAACGTGTGCAGCTTTATAGACCATGTCATAGGTTATATAATACAACATAAAGCCATGGTGCATATAAAACAATGGAGCTAGCTGACAGAGAGATTCGAGTCAAAATTTTCATATATAATCTCCCCTGAGAGAAGGTCGTCGTCGTCGTCGTCGTCGTCGTCGTTGTCGTTGACTCGTGGGTGACGCGGCGTGGCGTGGCGGGCGCAAGCTCGTACTCGATATCATATCAGAATTATATATGACACGAGCAAGAGAGGAGGATATTGGAATATATACGAGAGAGTTCAGCTGGGCGGAACGCAAGCGCGGATTTAATTGCCGGACTTGCTCGTTTAAAGGCACCGATGCAAATGAGTCGTAAAATGCTCTCTTCGTCTCGTATATGTCTACGCGCGGGGGTACTTTTACGAGCTTGCGAGTAGTGAACCAACCAGCGGCCGCGGCAGCCCTCTCTCTCTCTCTCTCGCTTGCTTTTGCTTGCTCTCCTTCAAGTCGCTCAAAACGATAAACCTCTTTCTTTATCGAGCTTTCGAGGTTATGTGCACCTGCATCACCGACTATATATACCACGCGCACAGACTATAGTACCACTACTATCGCGCATAATAACCCCGAAGAGATGGCGCGCTACGGCAAAAAATCATTTTAGAGGTTATGCGATGCCATAGCCCGGCCGTAGCGGCTCGACGCGGGGGTATTGAAAAGGGATATATGCGACACGCGCTCTCCTTTATGGAATGCGCGTAGGTATTCGCGGTTTATTATAACGGGCCCGTTTAAGAGTATTTTGAGGTTACGTGAGTTTGAATTTAAGAGCGAATTTAGCCCGCGAGGCTAGACACTAGCAAACATGTTAAATGTTTAATGTTGTTACTTTGTTTATGGGCTCGCGAAATGAGATGGCCGCAAATTTCATGAAATTTCCAATTTCCATATCTCGCATTGTTCTTAAAACACAACGAGCTTGTCACGATTTAAAATGAAGCAATTTACGTTATTAATAAAACAAAAAATAAGATTTTTATGTGTTAGAGTTAGATCACCTTTTATAAGAAAAATGAGTTTTAATATGTAAAGCTTATGGATGCCACGGGAAATCGGTTAGCAACTTTAGTGCGTGTTTATGAGTTCTTTTTACTTTGGTATTTATAAAAAAATCATTTGATGGGTGACACTTTTTGAAAACATTATGCGAATTTTTATAAAAAAGGAATCAGTTTCTAAATGAGGAAATAAATTTATAAAAAAAACTTTTATTATTATAAATTCTATTTGCGATAAAAAGTTTGCATTCATTTTGCTATTTATTATTCAGGAAATGCGAAATACTTTCAGCTCATATGTATTCTTGGAGAAAAAGATAAACTATGTGTAAAAGATACGCAACTCCATTTGTCAACCATATGCACTTGTCAGGACGTCGGACTGATTCGTCATTCTATTACCGATGCGCGACCCTCTTCTAATGGTCGTAAATATTCTCCGGTGCGCCATTCGTTACTCTAATCTATCTCTATTTTGCTTCGTGTGTGCGTGAAGTGAAAAGCTAAAGGGTGTGTGTGTGTACGACTGACAGTACAAAAATAATACGGAAAAAAGTACATCGACGCAGATTGATCCTTCGGTTGAGGGGGATTTCCGCAAATCGCAGAAATTTAATTACCTCAGGATATGGAATTATAGATGGAACCGACTGCAGTGAATTTTTCCCATGAATACATTTGAGTCGAATTTTTAAAGAACTTGGAAGCCGTCGCACGATGTGGAGCGTGCAGGATGCAAAAAAGTGAATGCCTTAAAATACGTAACATTATACGCATCGTTGTAAAGTGGGATATCAACTTGGCGGCGCAATAGTCGACTTCTATTAATACGTATTACTTGGCAACTGTTTTTTTCTGATTTTTGTGTATTGAATGGTTCATTGTTTTATGTTTCTTTATTACATATGATCACAAATTGGTAGAAATTCTCAACATTTAATGCCAACAGTTTATGCTTTTTCTTCAAAACTTTTTATAAATATTATTAAAACATTTTAATTGATTATTTTTTGTTCATTGGCCCATTATTTATATTGAACATTTCCAGAAGGTTCCAGGAGGTCTGAACCAGGAGTTCAGATAAGACTTTTGAACAGTTTTTTGGATAAGATGTGAGCTCATATGTTCAGGTACTGAATACGATGATTCATAAAGTCAATCGTTGATTTAATTCAAAAAATTTTTCTATTAAAGCTTTGAATTCTAAATTTTCATTGACTCAAGTTCATTAGACATTTTTTTACAAGTTAGAAGCGAGTAAAGCAGAGTTCTTTTTTTTTCACTTGGTATTTTTCTTTTAATTAAAAATGCGCGAACAGCCACCAACGAACCAACAATAAGAGCAACGTAACATTACGTTCACATCCAGCATTTCAAAAAAAAATTTTGCTCGTTACATTTCTCTCTAGCTCGTACAACCA